GCCCCCGTTAGGAGGAAAATTAGGGAGTCATGAAAATATAAACTTGAACAAAACACACCTGCCTGTGGTCATTGCTTGATTGCACCCACACGCACACCCATACGCAGGCTAGCCAACTGTGTGTGGGCGGTGGGCACGCGTCCCCATGCACATCCGCAGGGAAGCGGGCAGGTGCTTTTGCAGACTGGCCTGGTTGGGAAGCTCGGCCCTTTCGCGGAAGCTAAGGCCCCATGTGTGGGTCGCCAGTGCCCTCTGCTGGTCACCACAGGGCACTGCTCAGCTGTGCCAGAGACAGAGGGCTGCAGTTGTCTGCTGGGAGCTGAAATGATGGCGTGAAGCCCTTATGCTGAAGCCAGAGTGAGCCTGGGCATGAATAATTTCCCACATTTGTAAAGTGTTTCTCGCCTCTGGCATGAGTTAAATAATGCATCTTCACTGTTCCATATAAGCGACCTGCCTGGTGCAGCTGCTCCCGTCCCCACCAGAGCTGGCCTTGCTCAGAGACACGGAGCCAGCGCCTCAAGCGGTTGGCACACACGGGAGCACAGGAAGCATCCCAACCCCTTGCCCCAAACCAGTCGTTTCTCTGCGGTCGGAACACTCGCTTCCCTTACCCATGGTAACTGTGTATCTGTAGAAGCTGGTTTCCTAACCATCTAATTAGAAAAGAGTAGAACTTCCGCTGGAAAGAGTGTTAACTCATTTCTACTGGCAGGCGTGCAGGCCACTGGAGAGCCTGCACAAATGCGGGACTCGGGCGCCCCAGGCGTGGCGTCAGAGTCGGCACTCTGTCAGTGGCTTCGTGGCCATCAGACTGGAGACACGCGGCCCTGGCGCCTTTGAGGACATGTAGCTCAACACCCCAACTTCCAGGATGGCCTGGGGGTTCAGGACTTACCTCAGGGTTCCCAGCCAATTAAGTTGGCCCTGTGATCCGTCAGCTTTGTTCACCTCTAAGCCCTACCGCATCGCAGCCCTGATGCTGACACACCGCCACCCCAAGCTGGCGCTTGTCCTAAGTGTGGCTAGAGGGGTCCAGAAAACCCTCTGCTTTAAATGGTCACCCCCATTCAGGGACCATGATTCCAGAAACACAGCATTAGAGAGTCATCCAAATGCACAGCAGGACAGGCTGTGGATGACAGCCACTGCATTTAGTAGGTGCCTACTGAGTGCCCAGCTCTAGCATCAGCTGTACACACACTGTCTCTAATCCTCACACTTC